GGAGAGAGGGAGGAAGAAAGGAAGGGAAAAGGGGAGAGGGAAGGAAGGAGGGGAGAGGAAGGAAGGAAAAAGGGGAGGGGAGAAAGAAAGGAGAAGGGAGCGAAGGAGGAAAGGGGGAGGGGAGGAAGGAGGGTGAGAGAGGGAGGAAGGAAGGAAGGAAAAAGGGGAGAGGGGAGGAAGGAGGGGGGAGCGGAGAGGAAGGAAGGAAGGAAAAGTGGGAGGGGAGAAAGAAAGGGGGTGTGAGGGAGGGAGGAATAAAAAGGGGAGGGAAGGAAGGAGGGTGAGAGAGAGAAAAGGAAGGAAAAAGGGGAGAGAAGAAGGAAAGAAAGAAAAGGGGAAGGGAAGGGGGTGGGGGGAGAAAGACAGAAAGGAAGGAAGGAAGAAACGGAGGGAGGGAGGGAGGGGCAGGCCCAGAATCCCTTGAAAGACCCCAGACCAAATTCCCTCGGCCCTTCCCCGGCTCCCCAGGACCCTCCCTCCTCTTTTGGGGAGGGGGAGGAGAAGACCCCACCCCTCCCCAAGACCCCTCCCTCCTCCGGGCGCCCCTCCCCTCCCCTGGCTCTGCCCTAAGCAGCCCGGAGGAGCCCTGGGGAGGGAGGGGGAGGGGGAGGGGCTGGGATTCTCCCCCTCCCTCTTTCGCCCCCCCAGCCCTCCCCCCGACCCATTTCCGCCCGAGAGGAGTTTTCCTACCGGATCCAGGAGAAAGAGAAGGAAAGAAAGAAGGAGAGAAAGAAAGAAAGAAAGAAAGAAAGAGAGAGAGAATTGGAGGAAGAATCGCGCAGCGGCTCAGGCAGGCAGGGCGGGGGGAGAAGATTGACAGCTCAAGGAGGGAGGGCCCCGCCCCCCTTCCTCTCGCTCTCTCTCGCGGTGTCTTACCCCCTCCCCCCGCCCGCGGCTGGGCCATGCGCGGAAAGCACGTGACTGGCCGGGAGGCGAAAGTGAAAGTGGAGGCGGGAAGGGAAAGGAGGGGCGGGGCGGAGGAGCAACGGGGAGGGGAGGGGGAGGGTGGGAAGAGCCGGAGGTTCTTTCTTTCTTTCTTTCTTTCTTTCATTCCTTTCTCTTTTTTCTTTCTTTCTTTCTTCCTTTCTTTCTTTCCCTCGCTCCTTTCTTTCCTTCCTTCCTTTTTACCCCCCTTTTCTTTCTTTCTTTCTTTCTTTCTCTTTCTTTCTTTCTTCCTTTTTTTCTTTCTCCTTTTTTCTTCCTTTTTTCTTTCTTTTTAGTTTCTTTCTTTCCTTCTTTCTTTTTCTTTCTTTCTCCTTTTTTCTTCCTTTTTTCTTTCTAGTTTTTGTTTCTTTCTTTCCCTCCTCCCTTTCTTTCTTTCTTACTTTCTTTTTCTTTCTTTCTCCTTATTTCTTCCTTTTTATTTCTAGTTTCTTTCTTTTTCTTTCTTTCTCCTTTTTTCTTCTGTTTGCTTTCTAGTTTTTCTTTATTTCCCTCCCTCCTTTCTTTCCTTCTTTCCTTTTTACTCCTTTCTTTCTTTCTTTCTTTCTTTCTTTCTTTCTTTCTTTCTTTCTGTTTCTTTCTCTCTCCTTTTTTTCCTTTTTCTTTCTTTCTAGTTTCGTTCTTTCTTTCCCTCCTTCCTTTTTACTCCCCTTTTCTCAATCTTTCTCCTTTTTTCTTTCTAGTTTTTCTTTCCCTGCTTCCTTTCTTTCCCTCCTTCCTTTTTATTCCCCTCTTTCTTTCTTTCTTTCTTTCTTTCTTTCTTTCTTTCTTTCTTTCTTTCTTTCTTTCTTTCTTTCTCTTTCTTCCTCCTTTTTTTCTTCCTATTTCTTTCTTTCTAGTTGAAAGGGCCAAAAACTGACTGAGAAATGGCTAGAAAAACTGACTGAGAAATGGCTAGAAAAACTGCCTGAAAAAGGCCGGAAAAACTTACTGAGAAATGGCTAGAAAAACTGCCTGAGAAATGGCTGGAAAAACTGCCTGAGAAATGCCTGAAAAATGGCCTGAAAAACTGACTGAACAGGCCCAAAAAGCTGACTGAAAAAGGCCTGAAAAACTGCCTGAGAAATGGCTGAAAAACGTCCTGCAAATAGGCCAAAAACAGCCTGGAAACGGGCCAAAAAACACTCCCCAAAACTCCCCCCAAATGTTCCCTAAAACTGCCTGCAAAGGCCCAAAAACCTGCCTGAGAAATAGCTGGAAAATTGACTGCAAATGGGCCAAAAAAAATCCCTGTTAAGTTTGGAAGGTCGAGCTCATAGAGACAAGAGACTCAGTCCAAGTGAACACAGCTCTTTATTTACAGGCTAGATCTGCCCCAAAACCACCCGAAAATTGTCCTGAAAAACTGACTGAAAAGGCCCCAAAAGCTGACTGAAAAATTCAGATCCCTGCCCACCGTGTGATTCTGTCCTTCTGCCAGGAACTCCTGCTGGAGCAGAGGGCTGGAATTGGGGGTGGGGGAGGCAGCCAGTTACCCAGGAATATCCATAGAAGATACAAGGATAAGGGGGGCCACTTGTTTTCCGGCTTCTTTTCCAGGCCCATTTTGAGCCTTTTATCAGGTCAAAAACAACCCCGAATATGGCCCGAAAATGGCCTGAAGAACTGCCTGAGAAGGCCTTAAGAACAGCCCCAAAATGGCCGAAAAACAGCCTGAAAACCCCTTGGAGGGTTCCAAGGGCTTGGATTGGCCCAAGGGGAGCAAGGATTCCAGCTGGGGTGGGGGTGTGGGTGTGAGTGTGAGAGTATTTGTGTAGGTGTGTAAATAAATGTGTGTTTGTGTGTGTGTGTGTGTGTGGTAATATATCTTATTCATCATATTCTGTAAGTCCTTCGTACAGTTTTGCATAAGATCTGGGGATTTACAAACACTCCTCATGGGGGCAGTATTGCCTTTATGATGGGTGTTTGGTCCTGTTTTGATCTGCAAAGCTTAGAAGGAACCAGGTATATCGGTGAAAGGTCATAGTACCCAGCCGAGCCATTCCCATGGGACCTTTCGTGCCTGGATATTCACATGGGACTTTCCACAGTATATTATCACCCTGTTGAGGTAACATCCTGTTGAGGTCATTGTTTTGATTTTGTACTTGCATTTGCTTTCTCAATAAAAGCTGGTACCTGGGTTCTCTCAGGGCTGGCATTTGCTCAGACGGTTCCCTGCGTCTCATTTCAAGTGCCAGACCACCACATGTGTGTGTGTGTATTTGTATATTTTCCATGTATATATATGTATCCATGTATCTGTGGACACCTCGAAATGGCCAGGAAATGGAGATCTAGTAAATTTAATTAAATAAAATTTAATTTAATAAATTAAATTCATATTTTATTTATAATATATATGTAATATATGGTATCCTGAAAAACACATAACTTATCTCCTCTTATAGCTATGGAATAGAGAGCACAGTACATAGACTATAATTACGTAGATTTATTGCTGACTTATGTGTGTGTGATTTAAACTATCGAATGAAAACGAAAATTAAGGCGGAGACAAAACAAGGGTTTACACCTAGGCAGGGAAAACCAGAAGTGACGAGTACCGAAGGGGCAAAAGCCTGCCTCGCAAACAGTCCCCGAGAGATGGACTTCGGAGTCCTAGCGGGCGATCCCGTCAAACATGAGTCAGTTGTTGGCGCGGCAGGAGCCGCAGAAAAACTTAACATGATGCTCAGTGGTCTAGAGGACCTCCGAGGTCCCTTTTCCACGCTTTCATTCGACACTTTCCGTACGGGTCTCCTGCTTGAGGTGGCGGTTGGACTAGATGACCTGTTGAGTCCGGTTTGTCCAGCTGTTGCAAATCCGTCTGGTCGGTGGTACTATATCTCCTACTTTTTCTTTCTGGCTTCTTCCCAAGAAGTCGGCAGTGGTCTACTCTGTGAAATGCTTTCCTCACGTCTACGCATATTCTGGTGGTGGCTAACCTTTTTTGGGTTCCTGTGCCAAAAAAATATCATGGGCGTGCTTGCCCACCCTGTACCTCACAGCTGATTTTCGGCGTCCCAGAGCCTCGAGGAAGGCTTCTGCAGGCTTCTGTAGGCTTCACAGGCCAAAAACTAGGCTCATTTCGTCCCTTCCGGTATTTCTGGGCCTAGTTTTTGGCCTTCAGAAAACCAGCCTCAGGCTTCTGTAGGCTTTGCAGGCCGAAAACTAGGCTTGTTTCTTCCGTTCCAGTATTTCCAGGCCTAGTTTTTTGGCCTTCAGAAGCCCTTCCTCAGGCTTCTGGAGGCTTCGCAGGCCAAAAACTAGGCCCGTTTAGCCCCTTCCGGTATTTCTGGGCCTAGTTTTTGTCCTTCAGAAGCCCTTACTCAGGCTTCTGTAGGCTTCGCAGGCCGAAAACTAGGCCCGTTTGGCCCCTTCCGGTATTTCCGGGCCTAGTTTTTGTCCTTCAGAAGCCCTTCCTCAGGCTTCTGTAGGCTTCG